GGTAGATCTCGAAGTCTTTTACAAAATAAGTCCTATAAATAGAAAAGAGTAAAGTGCATTGTTTACCCCCGTACTCTTTAAAAATTGCAAGTTTTACCCCTGAACTATAAAAATTGCACCGTTTACCCTCGAACTCCTTGAAAATTGCACGATTTACCCCTGCATACTAAAAAATGCACCAAATACCCTTGAACAAATTAAACCGTTGCATTGTTGGTTCTAAACTATTTGATAGTGAGTGTGTTGCTTCCACGCACAACAATTGCGAATATGACTCATCTGACTCTTGTGATTTTTCCAAAGTACATTTCCCCAAAATTGTCGTTTTTATTTAAATGTTCAGGAGTAAACAGTACAATTTTCGAAGAGTTTAGGATAATTGGTACAATTTTTATTGTTCAGGGGTAAAGCGTGGAATTACTAAAGAATTCAGGGGTATTTGGTACACTTTTTAACTTTCGAGGGTAAACCGTGCAATTTTCAAAGAATTCGAGGGTAAACAGTGCACTTTTTCTCAAATAGAAAAAAACTTGATTTGTCTTATGTAAGGAAAAGTATTACTCCGAAAGTTTTAGTCTTATTCTCAACAATTTTTACATTTGTAATCGCTAGTTCAAATCAGTTTGCTCTCTAATCTGTTGCTCTGATCATGTGGCCAAATCAATTTGCAAAATTGTACTGACGAAATCCATTCGGCTCCAACACCAACACCAAAACAAATTCCCAAATCCCAAGTAATACCACAGAGAAAATTAGGGGTTGAACGATGAGTCGGCTACGTCTAGCCAAGACATAAATAAAGAGGGAATATTTCTCTATTAAAATGTGTTGTGAATACAAACAACAATCATCTTTATAGGAAGAGAGTAAAACAAACAAGGAAATTTCTATTCGAACTTAAAACAAGAATTAAACAAATTAGGAAAGTTACTAAACTGAATCCCAAATTCGATTTCCTTCTTCTAATATATCACGCCAACAAAATATATTTTTCCTATCAATATAGAGCATTGTACATTACATAATTTGAATTAAGAATTTACAAGTAAGTGATTAAAAAATCTCATATCTATAAAACATACATATTCAATTTATTTATTTTGTTAATTCTATCCAACATCCATCTCACATAATAATATTCATGTCACATAATTATTATAAATCAATAAAGTATAGAAAAAAGAAATTAAATACTCAAAAATAAGTTTTTTTTTATTTTTGCTAGTATTTTTTTATTTGAAGAATTAGCACTTCACATTTTTAGGACAGGACCGGTCCTAACGGGACTACCCAGTCGCCAAAAGGTCCCTATTTTTTCATGAAAACCAGACTAGTCTAGATCTATCAATTTTTAAATAGACCGAAGCGATCTCGTATTTTTTGAAATATTGGAATAATAGTATTGCGCATTGGATTATGAAGTACATGAAAGAGTATATATAGGAGGAACTCCTAACACAACTAGAAATAGAGAATGGAAACTCACTAAAATACTACATCTACCATAAATAAAAATAGGAGGCTCACTAATAATAAAATACTATCATGACCAATACTACCATAAGTAATGTTATTATTATTGTCTAACATCGCCTCTCAAGCTAAACTCTAGCTAGAGCAAGAGGAAGCTTAGACTCTAGCTGAAAATTGGAATATTTGAGAAGATAGAAGTCTGACGTGCGCCAGTGGCTGTTGGTGTCGTTGGAGAAGAAAGAAGAAGGATGTGTGCCATTGGTTGTTGACATCATTGGAGAAGAGAGAAGTCGAACGTGCACTGGTAGCTGCTAATGCCGTTGAAGAAGAGATAAAGGGTTGACATGCGCCAGTAACTGTTGACATCGAAGAAGAATAAAGAAGGCTATTGGAGGTGTCTATTTTATTGAAGATCCTTGACATTCTTTGTCTTTTTCTTGGATCCGGGCAATGCCGAATTTCTTTTCTCAATTGGGAAACTTTGTATGACTTTCTTAAAGAAGTGATTTTGAGATTTTCCTTCCTCTTTCTCTATTTCCACTCTTGGTTTTGCTTTTATTTTGGTTTATTTTAGGGTTTTTTGGTTCAACATAAGAGAAAGAGAAGGAATATTGATTATTAGAATGAGTGGTTTGAGTGAGAAAAAGGTAGATTAAGAATTGATGATGTAGAAAAGATTTGGGTCTGAGATTCTCGATGTGGTGAATTGGAGAAAAACAACTATTGGTTTTTTTATTTTGAGAAGAAAGAAAGGTGACTTGAGAGAGTTTTTTAAGAAGCTGTCGATCTTTACAATTAGAGGAAGAACACCGATCCGGCGAGTGGCTAATGGCGGTGTAGCCCGCCAGAAGCAAGCACAAAGAATTTTAGGTCACCAAGAGCGGTGGCTCCGATACCATGTTGAAATATTAGAATAATAATATTGTTTCTTGAATTATGGATTACATGATAAAGTATATATAGAAGGGACGCCTAACACAACTAGAAATAAAAAATGGAAACTCACTAAAATACTACATCTATCATAAATAAGAATAGAAAGCTGACTAATAATAAAATACTACCATGACCAATAATACTACCATAAGTAATAATGCTAGTCTGGTCTTTTTGCTAATCTCTAACTATGTCGATCATCGTACAACCTCAGTAGGAAACGAACAACGCCAGTGGATGATAGGCTGTGTGGATGGACGCTGGAGGTCGGATGGACTAGAAACAAGCGGCTGCCTAATAGGCTGACCGATGGACGAATGACGGAGGCTGAACCGGCGACACCCCAGCGGAGGACGACTCTAGGTTCGATACCATGTAGAATTTTGGAAAATAACTTCTCGACGTTTCATTATGCACAAGGTCAAGTATATGTATATATACAACTAAACAGGCCGTAAGCCCAAACATAAACTACGGACCTAAATACATTTAATTACATAAAATAACAAACACTCTACTAATAAACAGATTTTGGTCTGCGACATAGATAATTATCGTAGTGTATGTATAAAATGATTTGTAATTGTGATTCGTGAGGATGCTTGTAGTGTGTAACTTGTCGTGTGTTTTTACACATTATGCTTTAGCGAAATGTACATTGGGGTGTGGATAGAATACTATCTTTTCAGCTTGAAAAGAAAAACTTTCCTGCAGTTATTGGAACATTCCGTCGACTTATATGTATCCTTGGAGCATCTAACGTTTTTAAATTGAGTGAAAGAATGGCGATCGTTGCGTGTACTCATGTCGCAGTCATTAAGATTGAAAAAAATGTACTACTAATCAAAGCGTGATGAGTGCCGTTGGTTTTAGCACAATACCATTGGTCCAACTTGTTTTTTACCTGATCGAATTTAGAATGTGTCCTTCTTTAAGTGGGTATTTGCAATTCTGAAAAGGATCAAGCTATTTGTACACTAAAACTTGTATCTCAATTTGTAACCCAATGACATCTTATACTAGTGTGATATTAGTGTGGTGATTTACATTGACAATAAATGATATGTTGGACACGATTTTATTATGTGGCCTGAGTTATCATTTATCTAATTAATTGATCATTGACCTAATAAATACCCTACATATTTATTTGGTAATTATTCGATGGACGTAATTACCCTTATGACCTAATTAGGGTTTCCCCTTGGGTGTATATATATAGAGGTCATTAGACACAGATCAACACACCAATCTTACGCCTCCTCTCTGCCTCTCTATTCTCGTGAGTCTCACCTATCACCTTAGCCATCATAACAATACACCCTAAAAGGGAACTCGATCTGTGTGAGAATCATGGCCTCATCCCTAACTGCGTTTACAAGATTATCAGGTACACATGATTAAATCCCTAATTTATATTTTATGTTTAAGAATTGATCATGGTATCGGAGCGTTATGTTGATTAATCAATTCTGTTTTGTTCCCTATAATACTCGAATTATGATCGGAAAAAAACATACCCGTAGTAATTAAATTTTAACCCTAGCTGAAGGTGTCTTCCTTCTCGGTTTTATTCCTTTGGTTTATCTTTTCCGATTGGGCCACTGTATCATATCACCTCAAAACATTGAGTTTTGCAAACTCATGATGATTGCAAATCAGATTTCTAAAGGGGCGCATATTTTTCGAAAAAAAAAAAATCAAAACCTTAATACTCTCATTATAATTATTCTTTGATTCCATTTGAATAGTTATTAAATCCGAGGAATTGTTATGCTTTCATCCTTATTTTGATGAAATCATCTTGTTTTGGTATTTTATTTGAAATATAATTGTGTTTCCTTAAATTGTATGGCATATCTCACTTTTGCATGATATATTCTATTTCCTTATTTATTAATTTACTTTACCAAGAATAGCAAAACTAAATAAGGGATATGCTAAAATACCATTTAAAAAAATTAATTTTTTTTTACTTGTTGGAAAATCTCTTGCCTTATATGCCTTTGATTTTCTAATTAAATTAATCTTAATGGGTCCCCAATTTTGTAGCCCCGCCCCGAACCGCTATAACTTTTGCGGTTAACATTAAATTATAAATCATTTGGCTAATCTTAAATAAAATTTACTTTTATGATTAGTTAAATTGATTTATTTTGCTTGACTTGAATAATACCTTAGAATACACTTCTGCCCAAAGGTGATGTGTAACATTTGTAAAATTTATTTCAAGTCTAATTAAGCATTGTCATTTAGTGCATATCCTTAAATAGATATTTGCATGACACTCGCCTTAAATACATAATATTTCACTTCTGTCCAAAGATGATGTGTTATAGTTATGTACTGCGAACTAAATATATATGTGCATTAAATTTAAATGTTTCACTTCTGCCCAAAGGTGATGTGTTACATTCAAATTACACATCATTATTTTATTATTCATAATACTTAAATAAGTGGTCATAACCAAAGTGAAAGCCATTTGTTTGAGTAGAATTAAATTTAGTCTATTATTTTGGTGTTATAATAGACTCTTATCACAGCTTCATTACTATATAATGGTCCTTATCTTCGCCAGCCTTAGTTCATTACCCCTTAACTTCATCTTTAATTATGTGTCTTATTTCTCTCATCTAAATCCACTATCAGCCCAAATATGGGAATTGAAACCTTGAACGGTGCGAATTTCTCTTCATGGAAAGATTCACTGATGCTAACTCTTGGCATGTTGGATTTTGATTATGCCCCTCCTGCCCTCACTGATAAAAGTACTGCTGAAGATAAAATAGTACATGAGAGATGGGAGAGGTGCAACAGAATGGCTCTTATGCTCATTAAAAATTCCATCATTATAATCATCAGGGGAGCTATTCCAGATTCATCTAATGCTAAAATATATCTGGCTTCCGTGGAGGAACAATTCAAAGCAACTTCTAAGGCACATGCAAGTACTCTTATTTTGAAGATGGTGACTACAAAATATGACGGGAATAGCGGCATTCGTGAGCACATCATGATGATGAACGACATGGCCCGCAAGCTCAAGGGATTAGACATGGAGATCAGTGAAGGTTTTCTGGTGCACTTCATAATGACTTCTCTTCCTGCATCTTTTGAAGCTTTCAAGGTCAACTACAACACCCAGAAGGTCAAGTGGTCGATGAATGAGTTGATTGCTATGTGCGTACAAGAAGAAGAGCGTCTGAAGCT